TTTTTTAGATGAGTCAATAGAGTATTTTTCTCAGATTTGCTTCGAGTATTGCGTTTTTGCGGTTTTTGATATCTGTTTTTTGAAAAAAAAAAGAAGTCGAGTTGAATTATTATTATTTTTAAAAAACATATACATTTACCTTGAAATACAGTTCCTTTTTTTGAGGTTTTTACTCATTCGGAGCAGCCATGCCCGGCTGGTTAAGGTGTCTGACTAGAAATCAGATGTGATCTTCACGCGCAGTTTCGAATCATGCTGGCTGCGATTCGTACTAGCAAAATGAGGAGTTTTTTAGAAGGATCAAAAAAGTGTTTTTTTTCTCAGTTTTGCTTTGAATATCGAGTTATTGCTGTTTTTGGTATCTGCTTTTTGAATAAAAAGGATGTCGAGTTGAACTAAATTTTTAAAATTAACATAAACATTTACCTTGAAATACAAATCCTATTTTGCTGAGATTCTGACTCATTCTGAGCAGCCATGGCAGAGTGGGTAAGGCGTCTGACTAGACATCACATGTCATCTTCACGCCCAGGTTTGAATACTGTTCGATGCGATACGTACTAGCAAAAGTGGCAGATTTTTCGATGGGTCAAAAAATATTTTTTTCCCCAGATTTGTTTCGAATATTGAGTTCATGCGGTTTTTGGTATCTGTTTTTTAAAAAAAAAAGATGCCGAGTTGAACTCTTTTTTTTTAAAATTTGACATATACAATCACCTTGAAATACAATCCCTATTTTGTTGAGATTCTGATTCTTTCTGAGCAGCTGTGGCCGAGTGGATAAGGCGTCTGACTAGACATCACATGTGATCTCCACACCCAAGTTTGAGTCCTACTGGCTGGGATGCGTACTGGCATGAGGGGCAGTTTTTTAGTTGAGTCAATAGAGTATTTTTTTCTCAGATTTGCTTCGAGTATTGCGTTTTTGCGGTTTTTGATATCTGTTTTTGGAAAAAAAGAAGTCGAGTTGAATTATTATTTTTTTTAAAAAATATATACATTTACCTTGAAATACAGTTCCTTTTTTTGAGATTTTTACTCATTCGGAGCAACCATGCCCGGCTGGTTAAGGCGTCTGACTAGAAATCAGATGTGATCTTCACGCGCAGTTTCGAATCCTGCTGGCTGCGATTCGTACTAGCAAAATGAGGAGTTTTTTAGAAGGGTCAAAAAATTGTTTTTTTTTCTCATTTTTGCTTTGAATATCGAGTTATTGCGGTTTTTGATATCTGCTTTTTGAATAAAAAGGATGGCGAGTTGAACTAAATTTTTTAAATTAACATAAACATTTAACTTGAAATACAAATCCTATTTTGCTGAGATTCTGACTCATTCTGAGCAGCCATGGCAGAGTGGGTAAGGCGTCTGACTAGACATCACATGTCATCTTCACTCCCAGGTTTGAATACTGTTCGTTGCGATACGTACTAGCAAAAGTGGCAGATTTTTCGATGGCTCAAAAAATATTTTTTTCCCCAGATTTGTTTCGAATATTGAGTTCATGCGGTTTTTGGTGTCTGTTTTTGAAAAAACATATGTCGAGTTGAAATATTTTTTTTGAAAATAAAACGTATACATTTACCTTAAAATACAATTCCTATTTTATTGAGGTTTTTAATCCTTCGGCGCAGCCATGGTCAAGTGTTTAAGGCGTCTGAATCGAACTTAAATGTGATCTTCACGCGCAGGTTCGAACCCTGCTGGCTGCGATTCGTTTTAGCAAATGGGCAGATTTTTAAATGGGTCAAAAAAGTGTTTTTTTTTCTCAGATATGTTTCAATTTTTGAGTTATTGCGGTTTTTGGTATCTGATTTTTGAAAAAAAAAGATGCCGAGTTGAACTCTTTTTTTTTAAGTTTGACATATACAATCACCTTGAAATACAATCCCTATTTTGTTGAGATTCTGATTCTTTCTGAGCAGCTGTGGCCGAGTGGATAAGGCGTCTGACTAGACATCACATGTGATCTCCACACCCAAGTTTGAGTCCTACTGGCTGGGATACGTACTAGCATTTTTGATATCTGTTTTTTGAAAAAAAAAGAAGTCGAGTTGAATTATTATTTTTTTAAAAGAACATATACATTTACCTTGAAATACAGTTCCTTTTTTTGAGATTTTTACTCATTCGGAGCAGCCATGCCCGGCTGGTTAAGGAGTCTGACTAGAAATCAGATGTGATCTTCACGCGCAGTTTCGAATCCTGCTGGCTGCGATTCGTACTAGCAAAATGAGAAGTTTTTTAGAAGGGTCAAAAAAGTGTTTTTTTTTCTCAGTTTTGCTTTCAATATCGAGCTATTGCGGTTTTTGGTATCTGCTTTTTGAATAAAAAGGATCTCGAGTTGAACGAAATTTTTAAAATTATTATAAACATTTACCTTGAAATACAAATCCTATTTTGCTGAGATTCTGACTCATTCTGAGCAGCCATGGCAGAGTGGGTAAGGCGTCTGACTAGACATCACATGTCATCTTCACGCCCAGGTTTGAATACTGTTCGATGCGATACGTACTAGCAAAAGTGGCAGATTTTTCGATGGGTCAAAAAATATTTTTTCCCCAGATTTGTTTCGAATATTGAGTTCATGCGGTTTTTGGTATCTGTTTTTAGAAAAAACATATGTCGAGTTGAAATAATTTTTTTGAAAAAAAAAACTTATACATTTACCTTGAAATACAATTCCTATTTTATTGAGGTTTTAAATCCTTCGGAGCAGCCATGGTCAAGTGTTTAAGGTGTCTGACTCGAACTTAAATGTTATCTTCACGCGCAGGTTCGAACCCTGCTGGCTGCAATTCGTTTTAGCAAATGGGCAGATTTTTAAGTGGGTCAAAAAAGTGTTTTTTTTTCTCAGATTTGTTTCGAATTTTGAGTTATTGCGGTTTTTGGTATCTGATTTTTCAAAAAAAAAGATATCGATTTGAACAGTTTTTTAAATTTAATATATACTTTTACCTTGAAATACAATCCCTTTTTTGTTGAGATTCTGATTCATTTCGAGCAGCAATGACCGAGTGGATAAGGCGTCTGACTAGACATCACATGTGATCTCACGCCCAGGTCTGAATACTGTTGGATGCGCTACGAACTAGCAAGAGCGGGAGTTTTTCAGATGGGTCAGTAGAGTATGTTTTTTCTCAGGTTTGTTTCGAATATTGAGTTTGCAGTTTTTGGTAACTGTTTTCTGAAAAAACAAGATTTCGAGTTGAATTGATTTTAAAAAAAAACATACAATAACTTTGAAATACATTTCCTATTTTGTTGAGATTTTTAATCCTTCCGAGCAGCCATGGTCGAGTGGTTAAGGCGTGCGACTCCAACTTAGATGTGATCTTTACGCGCAGGTTTGAATCCTGCTGGCTGCAATTCGTTCTAGCAAATGGGCAGATTTTTCAACGGGACAAAGAATTGTTTTTTTTTTCTCAGATTTGTTTCGAATTATGAGTTATTGCGGCTCTTGGTATCTGTTTTTTGAAAAAAAGTCGAGTTGAATTCAATTTTTAAAATTAACATATACATTTATCTTGAAATACAATTCCTATTTTGTTGAGATGCTGATTCATTCTGAGCAGCCATGGCAGAGTGGGTAAGGCGTCTGACTAGACATCACATGTCATCTTCACGCCCAGCTTTGAATACTGTTGGATGCGATACGTACTAGCAAAATTAGCAGATTTTTCGATGGGTCAAAAAGTATTTTTTCCCCAGATTTGTTTGGATTATTGAGTTAATGCGGTTTTGGTATCTCTTTTTTGAAAAAACAAATGTCGAGTTGAATCCAAAATTTAAAATTGACATATAAACTTACCTTGAAATAAAGTAACTACTTTTTGAGATTTTTCAATCATTCGGAGCAGCCATGGCCGAGTGGTTAAGGTGTGTGTCTAGAAATCAGTTGAGAACTTCACGCACAGGTTCGAATCCTGCTAGCTGCGATTCGTGCGAGCAAAACGAGGAGATTTTTTGATGGGTAAAAAAATGATTTTTTCTCTCAGATTGGCTTCGAATATTGAGTTAATGCGGTGTTTGGTATGTTTCTTTAAAAAAATGTTGAATCGAACTAAATATTTAACATTAACATATACATTTAACTCGAAAGACAATTCCTATTTTGTTGAGGTTTTGAAGCATTCTGAGCAGCCATGGCCGAGTGGGTAAGGCGTCTGACTAGACATCAGAATCGATCTTCACCCCCAAGTTTGAGTCCTACTGGCTGCGATGCGCACTAGCAAGAGGAGCAGTTTTTTAGATGGGTGAATAGAGTATTTTTTCTCAGATTTGTTTCGAATATTGAGGTTTTGCGGTTTTCGGTAGCTAATTTTCGAAAAAAAAGATGTCGAGTTGAATTATTGTTTTTTAAAAAAAGTTATATACGTTTATCTTGAAATACAATTCCTATTTCTTTGAGATTTTTTATCATTCGTAGCAGCCATGGTCGAGTGGTTAAGGCGTTTGACTAGAAAGCAGAAGAGATCTTCTTGCGCATGTTCGAATCCTGCTTGCTGCGATTCTTACTAGCAAAAACAGGAGTTTTTTAGAAGGGTCAAAAAAATGTTTTTTTTCTCAGATTTGCTTCGAATATCGAGTTATTGCGAATTTTGGTATCTTTTTTTTGAAAAAAAAAGAGGTCGAGTTGAATTATTTATTAAAAAAACATATACCTTTACCTTGAAATACAATTCCTATTTTGTTGAGATTTTTACAATTCTGAGCAGCCATGCCCGAGTGGTTAAGGCGTCTGACTAGAAATCAATTGTGATCATCACGCTCAGGTTCGAATCCTGCTGGCTGCAATACGCACTAGCAAGAGGGGGAATTTTTCAGATGGATCAGTAGAGTATGTTTTTTTCTCAGATTTGTTTCGAGTATTGAGTTATTGCGGTTTTTGTATCTGATTTTTGAAAAAAAAAGATGTCGCGTTGAATCAAAACTTTAAAATTGACAGTTGTATTTACCTTGAAATACAGTACCTATTTTTTGAGATTTTTGAATCATTCGGAGCAGCCATGCCCGAGTGGTTAAGGCGTCTGGCTAGAAATCAGATGTAATCTTCACGCGCAGGTTCGAATCCTGCGGGCTGCGATTCTACAAGCAAGAGGGGCAGTTTTTTAGATGGGTCAAAAGAGTAGTTTTTTTTTCTCAGATTTGTTTCGAATATTGAGTTTTTGCGGTTTTTGGTATCAGTTTTTTTTGAAAAAAAAGATGTCGAGTTGAATTATTATGATTTTTTTTAAAAAAACATATACATTTACCTTGAAATACAATTCCTATTTCTTTGAGAACTTTAATCATTCGGAGCAGCCATGACCAAGTGGTTAAGGAGTCTGACTAGAAATCAGTTGAGATCCTCACGCGCAGGTTCGAATCCTGCTGGCTGCTATCAAGAGGTGGAGTTTATCAGTTGGGTCAGTAGAGTATGTTTTTTCTCAGATTTGTTTCGAGTATTGAGTTATTGCGGTTTTTGTATCTGACTTTTGAAAAAAAAAGATGTCGCGTTGAATCAAAATTTTAAAATTGACATATGCATTTACCTTGAAATACAGTACCTATTTTTTGAGATTTTCCAATCATTCGGAGCAGCCATGGCCGAGTGGTTAAGGCGTCTGACTAGCTATCAGATGTGATCTTCACGCGCAGGATCGAATCTTGCTGGCTGCTATTCGTACAAGCAAGAGAGGAAGTTTTTGAAATGAGTCAGTAGAGAATGTTTTTTCTCAGATTTGTTTCGAATATTGAGTTTTTGCGGTTTTTGGTATCTAATTTTCGAAAAAAAAAAGATTTCGAGTTGATTTATTATTTTTTAAAAAAATTATATACATTTATCTTGAAATAAAATTCCTATTTCTTTGAGCTTTTAATCATTCGTAGCAGCCATGGTCGAGTGGGTAAGGCGTCTGACGAAAAATCAGAAGTGATCTTCTCGCGCAGGTTCGAATCCTGCTTGCTGCGATTCTTACAAGCAAAAAGAGGAGTTTTTTAGAAGGGTCAAAAAAGTGTTGTTTTTCTCAGATTTGCTTCGAATATCGAGTTATTGCGTTTTTTGGTATCTGTTTTTTGAAAAAAAAGATGTCGAGTTGAATTTTTTTTTTTTAAATATACCTTTACCTTGAAATACAATTCCTATTTTGTTGAGATTTTCATAACTCTGAGCAGCCATGCCCGAGTGGTTAAGGCGTCTGACTATAAATCAGTTGTGATCATCACGCGGAGGTTTGAATCCTGCTGGCTGCGATACGCACTAGCAAGAGGGGGAATTTTTCAGATGGGTCAGTAGAGTATGTTTTTTTCTCAGATTTGTTTCGAGTATTGAGTTATTGCGGTTTTTGTTATCTGATTTTTGAATAAAAAAGATGTCGCGTTGAATCAAAATTTTAAAATTGACAATTAAATTTAGCTTGAATTACAGTAACTACTTTTTGAGATTTTTCCATTAATCGGAGCAGCCATGGCCGAGTGGTTAAGGCGTCTGACAAGAAATCAGATGTTATCATCACGCGTAGGTTCGAATCCTGCTGGCTGCGATACGCACTAGCAAGAGGTGGATTTTTTCAGATGGGTCAGTAGAGTATGTTTTTTTCTCAGATTTGTTTCGAGTATTGATGTATTGCGGCTTTTGTATCTGATTTTTGAAAAAAAAAGATTTCGCGTTGAATCAAAATTTTAAAATTGACAATTACATTTAGCTTGAAATACAATTCCTATTTTGTTGAGATTTTCATAATTCTGAGCAGCCATGCCCGAGTGGTTAAGGCGTCTGACTATAAATCAGTTGTGATCATCACGCGGAGGTTTGAATCCTGCTGGCTGCGATACGCACTAGCAAGAGGGGGAATTTTTCAGATGGGTCAGTAGAGTATGTTTTTTTTTCTCAGATTTGTTTCGAGTATTGAGTTATTGCGGTTTTTGTATCTGATATTTGAAAAAAAAAGATGTCGCGTTGAATCAAAATTTTAAAATTGACAATTACATTTAGCTTGAATTACAGTAACTATTTTTTGAGATTTTTCCATTAATCGGAGCAGCCATGGCCGAGTGGTTAATGCGTCTGACTAGAAAGCAGATGTGATCTTCAGGCGCAGGTTCGAATCTTGCTGGCTGCGATTCGTTTAAGCAAGAGGAGAAGTTTTTCAAATGGGTCAGTAGAGAATGTTTTTTCTCAGATTTGTTTCGAATATTGAGTTTTTGCGGTTTTTGGCATCTAATTTTCGAAAAAAAAAAGATTTCGAGTTGAATTTTTTTTTTTTAAAAACATATACCTTTACCTTGAAATATAATTCCTATTTTGTTGAGATTTTCGTAATTCTGAGCAGCCATGCCCGAGTGGTTAAGGCGTCTGACTAGAAATCAGTTGTGATCATCACGCGTAGGTTTGAATCCTGCTGGCTGCGATACGCACTAGTAAGAGGGGGATTTTTTCACATGGGTCAGTAGAGTATGTTTTTTTATCAGATTTGTTTCGAGTATTGAGTTATTGCGGTTTTTGTATCTGTTTTTTGAAAAAAAAAAGATGTCAAGTTGCATCATTATGATTTTTTTTAAAAAAACATATACATTTACCTTGAAATACAATTCCTATTTCTTTGAGGTTTTTAAGCATTCGGAGCAGCCATGGCCGAGTGGTTAAGGCGTCTTACTAGAAGTAAGAAGTGATCTTCACGCGCAGGTTCAAATCCTGCTTGCTGCGATTGGTACAAGCAAGAGGGGCAGTTTTTTTAGATGGGTCAATAGAGTATTTATTTTCCTAGAATTGTTTCGAATATTGAGTTTTTGCGGTTTTTGGTATCTGTTTTTTTGAAAAAAAAAAGATGTCGCGTTGAATCAAAATTTTTAAATTGACAATTACGTTTACCTTGAATTACAGTAATTATTTTTTGAGATTTTTCCATCATTCTGAGCAGCCATGGCCGAGTGGTTAAGGCGTCTGACTAGAAATCAGATGTGATCTTCACGCGGAGGTTCGAATCCTGCTGGCTGCGATCCGTACAAGCAAGAAGGGCAGTTTTTTAGATGGGTCAATAGAGTATTTATTTTCCTAGAATTGTTTCGAATATTGAGTTTTTGCGGTTTTTAGTATCTGTTTTTTTAAAAAAAAAGATGTCGAGTTGAATTATTTTTTAAAAAAAACGTATATTTTACCTTGAAATACAATTCCTATTTTGCTGAGATTTTCATAATTCTGAGCAGCCATGCCCGACTGGTTAAGGCCCGTCTGACTAGAAATCAGATGTGATCATCACGCGCAGGTTTGAAGACTGCTGGCTGCGATACGCAATAACAAGAGGGGGAGTTTTTCAGATGGGTCAGTAGAGTATGTTTTTTTCTCAGATTTGTTTCGAGTATTGAGTTATTGTGAATTTTGGTATCTGTTTTTTGAAAAAAAAAGATGTCGAGTTGAATTATTTATTAAAAAAACATATACCTTTACCTTGAAGTACAATTCCTATTTTGTTGAGATATTCATAATTCGGAGCAGCCATGCCCGAGTGCTTAAGGCGTCTGACTAGAAATCAGTTGTGATCATCACGCGCAGGTTCGAATCATGCGGGATGCGATTCTACAAGCAAGAGGGGCAGTTTTTTAGATGGGTCTATAGAGTATTTTTTTTTTCTCAGATTTGTTTCGAATATTGAGTTTTTGCAGTTTTTGGTATCTGTTTTTTTGAAAAAAAAAAGATGTCGAGTTGAATTATTATGATTTTTTTTACAAAATACATATACATTAACCTTGAAATACAATTCCTATTTCTTTGAGAATTTTAATCATTCGGAGCAGCCATGGCCGAGTGATTAAGGCGTCTGACTAGAAATCAGATGTGATCTTCACGCGCAGGTTCGAATCCTGCTGGCTGCGATTCGTACAAGCAAGAGGGGAAGGTTTTTAGATGGGTCAATAGAGTTTTTTTTTCTCAAATCGACTATTGAGTTTTTGCGGTTTTTGATATCTGTTTTTTGAAAAAAACGATGCCGAGTTGAATTATTATGATTTTTTTAAAAAAAAAAACATATACATTTACTTGAAATACAATTCCTGTTTCTTTGAGATTTTAAATCAATCTAAGCAGCCATGGCCGAGTGGTTAAGGCGTCTGACTAGAAATCAGATGTGATCTTCACGCGCTGGTTGGAATCCTGCTGGCTGCGATTTGTACTAGCAAAAAGAGGAGTTTATTAGTAGGTCAAAAAAGTATTTTTTTTTTCTCAGATTTGCTTCGAATATCGAGTTATTGCGGTTTTCGGTATCTGTTTTTTGAAAAAAAAAAGATGTCGAGTTGAATTATTTTTTAAAAAAACATATACTTTTACCTTGAAATACAATTCCTAGTTTGTTGAGATTTTTCCATTATTCTGAGCAGCCATGGCCGAGTGGTTAAGGCGTCTGACTCGAAATCAGATGTGATCATCACGCGCAGGTTCAAACCCTGCTGGCTGCGATATGCACTAGCAAGAGGGAAAGTTTTTCAGTTGGGTCAGTAGAGTATGTTTTTTCTCAGATTTGTTTCGAGTATTGAGTTATTGCGGTTTTTGTTTCTGATTTTTGAAAAAAAAAAGATGTCGCGTTGAATTATTATGATTTTTAAAAAAAAAACATATACATTTACCTTGAAATACAATTCCCATTTTTTTGAGATTTTTAATCATTCGGAGCAGCCATGGCCGAGTGGTTACGGCGTCTGAATTGAAATCAGATCTGATCATCACGCGTCGGTTCGAATCTTGCTGGCTGCGATTCGTACAAGCAAGAGGGGAAGTTTTTTAGATGGGTCAATAGAGTGTTTTTTTTCTCAGATTTGTATCGAGTATTGAGTTTTTGCGGTTTTTGGTATCTGTTTTTTGAAAAAAAAAAGATGTCTAGTTGAATTATTTTTTAAAAAAAACATATACATTTACCTTGAAATACAATTCCCATTTTTTTGAGATTTTTAATCATTCGGAGCAGCCATGGCCGAGTGGTTACGGCGTCTGAATAGAAATCAGATGTGATCATCACGCGCAGGTTCGAATCCTGCTGGCTGCGATACGCACTAGCAAGAGGGGGAGTTTTTCAGATGGCTCAGTAGAGTATGTTTTTTCTCAGATTTGTTTCGAATATTGAGTTATTGCGGTTTTTGTCTCTGATTTTTGAAAAAAAGGTGTCGCGTTGTATCAAAATTTTAAAATTGACTCTTGCATTTACCTTGAAATACAGTACCTGTTTTTTTGAGGTTTTTCCATCATTCGGAGCAGCCATGGCCTTGAATTATTTTTTAAAAAAAAACATATACTTTTACCTTGAAATACAATTCCTATTTTGTTGAGATTTTTCAATCATTCCGATCAGCCATGGACGAGTGGTTAAGGCGTCTGATTGGCAAGGAAATCAATTGTGTTATTCACGCGCAGGTTCGAATCCTGCTGGCTGCGATTCGTACAAGCAAGAGGGCTAGTTTTTTAGATGGGTCAATAGAATATTTTTTTTCTCAGATTTGTTTCGAATATTGTGTTTTTGCGGTTTTTGGTGTCTGTTTTTTTGAAAAAAAAAGATGTCGAGTTGAATTATTATGATTTTTTTGTAAAAACATATACATTTACCTTGAAATACAATTCCTATTTTTTGAGATTTAAATCATTCGGAGCAGCCATGGCCGAGTGGTTAAGGCGTCTGACTAGAAATCAGATGTGATCTTCACGCGCAGGTTCGAATCCTGCTGGCTGCGATTCGTACTAGCAAGAAAGAAAGTTTTTTAGAAGGGTCAAAAAAGTATTTTTTTTCTCAGATTTGCTTCGAATATCGAGTTATTGCAGTTTTTGGTATCTGTTTTTGAAAAAAAAAGATGTCGAGTTGATTTATTTTTTGAAAAAAACATATACCTTTACCTTGAAATACAATTCGTTGAGATTTTCATAATTCCGAGCAGCCATGCCCGAGTGGTTAAGGCGTCTGACTAGAAATCAGATGTGATCAGCACGCCCATGTTCGAATCCTGCTGGCTGCAATTCGTACTAGCATGAGGGGAAGTTTTTTAAAAGGGTCAAAAAAGTATTTTTTTTCTCAGACTTGCTTCGAATATCGAGTTATTGCAGTTTTTGGTATCTGTTTTTGAAAAAAAAACGATGTCGAATTGATTTATTTTTTTTTAAAAACATATACCTTAACCTTGAAATACAATTCGTGTTTTGTTGAGATTTTCGTAATTCCGAGCAGCCATGCCCGAGTGGTTAAGGCGTCTGACTAGAAATCAGATGTGATCAGCACGCGCATGTTCGTATCCTGCTGGCTGCGATACGCACTAGCAAGAGGGGGAGTTTTCAGATGGGTCAGTAGAGTATGTTTTTTCTCAGATTTGTTTCGAGTAGTGAGTTATTGCGGTTTTTGTATCTGATTTTTGAAAAAAAGATGTCGCGTTTAATCAAAATTTTAAAATTGACATATGCATTTACCTTGAAATACAGTACCTATTTTTTGAGATTTTTCGATCATTCTGAGCAGCCATGGCCGGGTGGTTAAGGCGTCTGACTAGACATCAGATGTGATATTCACGCGCATGTTCGTATCCTGCTGGCTGCGATACGCACTAGCAAGAGGGGGAGTTTTTCAGATGGGTCAGTAGAGTATGTTTTTCTCAGATTTGTTTCGAGTAGTGAGTTATTGCGGTTTTTGTATCTGCTTTTTGAAAAAAAAAGGTGTCGCGTTGAATCAAAATTTTAAAATTGACATATGCATTTACCTTGAAATACAGTACCTATTTTTTGAGATTTTTCGATCAATCTGAGCAGCCATGGCCGAGTGGTTAAGGCGTCAGACTAAAAATCAGATGTGATCATCACGCGCTGGTTCGAGTTCTGCTGGCTGCGATACGCACTAGCAAAAAGAGGAGTTTTTTAAAAGGGTCAAAAAAGTGTTTTTTTTTCTCAGATTTGCTTCGAGTATTGAGTTATTGCGGTTTTTGTATCTGATTTTTGAAAAAAAAAAAGATGTCGCGTTCAATCAAAATAGTAAAATTGATATATGCATTTACCTTGAAATACAGTACCTATTTTTTGAGATTTTTTATCATTCTGAGCAGCCATGGCCGGGTGGTTAAGGCGTCTGACTAGACATCAGATGTGATCTTCACGCGCAGGTTTGAATCCTGCTGGCTGCGATTCGTACAAGCAAGAAGGGCAGTTTTTTAGATGGGTCAATAGAGTATTTATTTTCCTAGAATTGTTTCGAATATTGAGTTTTTGCGGTTTTTAGTATCTGTTTTTTTAAAAAAAAAGATGTCGAGTTGAATTATTTTTTAAAAAAAACGTATATTTTACCTTGAAATACAATTCCTATTTTGCTGAGATTTTCATAATTCTGAGCAGCCATGCCCGACTGGTTAAGGCCCGTCTGACTAGAAATCAGATGTGATCATCACGCGCAGGTTTGAAGACTGCTGGCTGCGATACGCAATAACAAGAGGGGGAGTTTTTCAGATGGGTCAGTAGAGTATGTTTTTTTCTCAGATTTGTTTCGAGTATTGAGTTATTGTGAATTTTGGTATCTGTTTTTTGAAAAAAAAAGATGTCGAGTTGAATTATTTATTAAAAAAACATATACCTTTACCTTGAAGTACAATTCCTATTTTGTTGAGATATTCATAATTCGGAGCAGCCATGCCCGAGTGCTTAAGGCGTCTGACTAGAAATCAGTTGTGATCATCACGCGCAGGTTCGAATCATGCGGGATGCGATTCTACAAGCAAGAGGGGCAGTTTTTTAGATGGGTCTATAGAGTATTTTTTTTTCTCAGATTTGTTTCGAATATTGAGTTTTTGCAGTTTTTGGTATCTGTTTTTTTGAAAAAAAAAAGATGTCGAGTTGAATTATTATGATTTTTTTTACAAAATACATATACATTAACCTTGAAATACAATTCCTATTTCTTTGAGAATTTTAATCATTCGGAGCAGCCATGGCCGAGTGATTAAGGCGTCTGACTAGAAATCAGATGTGATCTTCACGCGCAGGTTCGAATCCTGCTGGCTGCGATTCGTACAAGCAAGAGGGGAAGGTTTTTAGATGGGTCAATAGAGTTTTTTTTTCTCAAATCGACTATTGAGTTTTTGCGGTTTTTGATATCTGTTTTTTGAAAAAAACGATGCCGAGTTGAATTATTATGATTTTTTTTAAAAAAAAAACATATACATTTACTTGAAATACAATTCCTGTTTCTTTGAGATTTTAAATCAATCTAAGCAGCCATGGCCGAGTGGTTAAGGCGTCTGACTAGAAATCAGATGTGATCTTCACGCGCTGGTTGGAATCCTGCTGGCTGCGATTTGTACTAGCAAAAAGAGGAGTTTATTAGTAGGTCAAAAAAGTATTTTTTTTTCTCAGATTTGCTTCGAATATCGAGTTATTGCGGTTTTCGGTATCTGTTTTTTGAAAAAAAAAGATGTCGAGTTGAATTATTTTTTAAAAAAACATATACTTTTACCTTGAAATACAATTCCTATTTTGTTGAGATTTTTCCATTATTCTGAGCAGCCATGGCCGAGTGGTTAAGGCTTCTGACTCGAAATCAGATGTGATCATCACGCGCAGGTTCAAACCCTGCTGGCTGCGATATGCACTAGCAAGAGGGAAAGTTTTTCAGTTGGGTCAGTAGAGTATGTTTTTTCTCAGATTTGTTTCGAGTATTGAGTTATTGCGGTTTTTGTTTCTGATTTTTGAAAAAAAAAAGATGTCGCGTTGAATTATTATGATTTTTAAAAAAAAAACATATACATTTACCTTGAAATACAATTCCCATTTTTTTGAGATTTTTAATCATTCGGAGCAGCCATGGCCGAGTGGTTACGGCGTCTGAATTGAAATCAGATCTGATCATCACGCGTCGGTTCGAATCTTGCTGGCTGCGATTCGTACAAGCAAGAGGGGAAGTTTTTTAGATGGGTCAATAGAGTGTTTTTTTTCTCAGATTTGTATCGAGTATTGAGTTTTTGCGGTTTTTGGTATCTGTTTTTTGAAAAAAAAAAGATGTCTAGTTGAATTATTTTTTAAAAAAAACATATACATTTACCTTGAAATACAATTCCCATTTTTTTGAGATTTTTAATCATTCGGAGCAGCCATGGCCGAGTGGTTACGGCGTCTGAATAGAAATCAGATGTGATCATCACGCGCAGGTTCGAATCCTGCTGGCTGCGATACGCACTAGCAAGAGGGGGAGTTTTTCAGATGGCTCAGTAGAGTATGTTTTTTCTCAGATTTGTTTCGAATATTGAGTTATTGCGGTTTTTGTCTCTGATTTTTGAAAAAAAGGTGTCGCGTTGTATCAAAATTTTAAAATTGACTCTTGCATTTACCTTGAAATACAGTACCTGTTTTTTTGAGGTTTTTCCATCATTCGGAGCAGCCATGGCCTTGAATTATTTTTTAAAAAAAAACATATACTTTTACCTTGAAATACAATTCCTATTTTGTTGAGATTTTTCAATCATTCCGATCAGCCATGGACGAGTGGTTAAGGCGTCTGACTGGCAAGGAAATCAATTGTGTTATTCACGCGCAGGTTCGAATCCTGCTGGCTGCGATTCGTACAAGCAAGAGGGCTAGTTTTTTAGATGGGTCAATAGAATATTTTTTTTCTCAGATTTGTTTCGAATATTGTGTTTTTGCGGTTTTTGGTGTCTGTTTTTTTGAAAAAAAAGATGTCGAGTTGAATTATTATGATTTTTTTGTAAAAACATATACATTTACCTTGAAATACAATTCCTATTTTTTGAGATTTAAATCATTCGGAGCAGCCATGGCCGAGTGGTTAAGGCGTCTGACTAGAAATCAGATGTGATCTTCACGCGCAGGTTCGAATCCTGCTGGCTGCGATTCGTACTAGCAAGAAAGAAAGTTTTTTAGAAGGGTCAAAAAAGTATTTTTTTTCTCAGATTTGCTTCGAATATCGAGTTATTGCAGTTTTTGGTATCTGTTTTTGAAAAAAAAAGATGTCGAGTTGATTTATTTTTTGAAAAAAACATATACCTTTACCTTGAAATACAATTCGTTGAGATTTTCATAATTCCGAGCAGCCATGCCCGAGTGGTTAAGGCGTCTGACTAGAAATCAGATGTGATCAGCACGCCCATGTTCGAATCCTGCTGGCTGCAATTCGTACTAGCATGAGGGGAAGTTTTTTAAAAGGGTCAAAAAAGTATTTTTTTTCTCAGACTTTCTTCGAATATCGAGTTATTGCAGTTTTTGGTATCTGTTTTTGAAAAAAAAACGATGTCGAATTGATTTATTTTTTTTTAAAAACATATACCTTAACCTTGAAATACAATTCGTGTTTTGTTGAGATTTTCGTAATTCCGAGCAGCCATGCCCGAGTGGTTAAGGCGTCTGACTAGAAATCAGATGTGATCAGCACGCGCATGTTCGTATCCTGCTGGCTGCGATACGCACTAGCAAGAGGGGGAGTTTTCAGATGGGTCAGTAGAGTATGTTTTTTCTCAGATTTGTTTCGAGTAGTGAGTTATTGCGGTTTTTGTATCTGATTTTTGAAAAAAAGATGTCGCGTTTAATCAAAATTTTAAAATTGACATATGCATTTACCTTGAAATACAGTACCTATTTTTTGAGATTTTTCGATCATTCTGAGCAGCCATGGCCGGGTGGTTAAGGCGTCTGACTAGACATCAGATGTGATATTCACGCGCATGTTCGTATCCTGCTGGCTGCGATACGCACTAGCAAGAGGGGGAGTTTTTCAGATGGGTCAGTAGAGTATGTTTTTCTCAGATTTGTTTCGAGTAGTGAGTTATTGCGGTTTTTGTATCTGCTTTTTGAAAAAAAAAGGTGTCGCGTTGAATCAAAATTTTAAAATTGACATATGCATTTACCTTGAAATACAGTACCTATTTTTTGAGATTTTTCGATCAATCTGAGCAGCCATGGCCGAGTGGTTAAGGCGTCAGACTAAAAATCAGATGTGATCATCACGCGCTGGTTCGAGTTCTGCTGGCTGCGATACGCACTAGCAAAAAGAGGAGTTTTTTAAAAGGGTCAAAAAAGTGTTTTTTTTTCTCAGATTTGCTTCGAGTATTGAGTTATTGCGGTTTTTGTATCTGATTTTTGAAAAAAAAAAAGATGTCGCGTTCAATCAAAATAGTAAAATTGATATATGCATTTACCTTGAAATACAGTACCTATTTTTTGAGATTTTTTATCATTCTGAGCAGCCATGGCCGGGTGGTTAAGGCGTCTGACTAGACATCAGATGTGATCTTCACGCGCAGGTTTGAATCCTGCTGGCTGCGATTCGTACAAGCAAGAGGGGCAGTTTTTTAGATGGCTCAGTAGAGTATGTTTGTTCTCAGATTTGTTTCGAGTATTGAGTTATTGCGGTTTTTGTATCCGATTTAAAAAAAAAGATATCGCGTTGAATCAAATTTTTAAAATTGACATATGCATTTACCATGAAATACAGTACCTATTTTTTGAGATTTTGCCATCATTTGGAGCAGCTATGGCCGAGTGGTTAAGGCGTCTGACTAGAAATCTGATTAGATCAGCACGCGAAGGTTTGAATCCTGCTGGCTGCGATTCGTACAAGCAAGAGGGGCAGTTTTTTAGATGGGTCAGTAGAGTATGTTTGTTCTCAGATTTGTTTCGAGTATTGAGTTATTGCGGTTTTTGTATCTGATTTAAAAAATATATATATCGCGTTGAATCAAAATTTTAAAATTGACACATGCATTTACCTTGAAATACAGTACCTATTTTTTGAGATTTTTACATCATTCGGAGCAGCCATGGCCGAGTGGTTAAGGCGTCTGACTAGAAATCAGATTAGATCATCACGCGAAGGTGCGAGTCCTGCTGGCTGCGATACGCACTAGCAAGAGGTAAGTTTTTCAGATGGGTCAGTAGAGTATGTTTTTTCTCAGATTTGTTTCGAGTATTGAGTTATTGCGGTTTTTGTATCTGATTTTTGAAAGAAAATATGTCGCGTTGGATCAAAATTTTAAAATTGACTTACGCATTTACCTTGAAATACAGTACCTTTTTTTGAGATTTTTCCATCATTCGGAGCAGCCATGTTCGAGTGGTTAAGGCGTCTGACTAGAAATCAGATGTGATCATCGCGCGCATGTTCGAATCCTGCTGGCTGCGATTTGTACAAGCAAGAGGGGCAGTTTTTTAAATGGGTCAATAGAGTTTTTTTTTCTCAGATTTGTTTCGAAAATTGAGTTTTTGCGGTTTTTGGTATCTGATTTTTGAAAAAAAAAATGTCGAGTTGAATTATTATGATTTAAAAAAAAAACATCTACATTTACTTTGAAGTTCAATTCCTATTTCTTTGAGGTTTTTAATCATTCGGAGCAGCCATGGCCGAGTGGTTAAGGCGTCTGACTAGAATTCAGAAGTGATCTTCATGCGCAGGTTCGAATCCTGCTGGCTGCGACAAGCAAGAGGGGCATTTTTTTAGATGGGTCGATAGAGTATTTTTTTTCTCAGATTTGTTTCGTATATTGAGTTTTTGCGGTTTTTGGTATCTGTTTTTTGAAAAAAAAAGATATTGACTTGAAATATTATGATTTAAAAAAAAAAACATACACATTTACCTTGAAATACAATTTCTATTTCTTTGAGATTTTTAATCATTCGGAGCAGCCATGGCCGAGTGGCTAAGGCGTCTGACTGGAAATTAAATGAGAGCTTCACGCGCAGGTTTGAATCCTGCTGGCTGCGATTCGTACTAGCAAGAGGGGCAGATTTTTAGAAGGCTCAAAAAGTATTTTTTTCTCAGATTTGTTTCGAGTATTGAGTTATTGCGGTTTTTGTATCTGATTTTTGAAAAAAAAAGATGTCGCGTTGAATCCAATTTTTAAAATTGACATAGGCATTGACCTTGAAATACAGTATCTGTTTTTTGAGATTTTTGCAGCATTCGGAGCAGCCATGGCCGAGTGGTTAAGGCGTCTGACTAGAAATCAGATGTGATCATCACGTTCAGGTTCGAGTCCTGCTGGCTGCGATACGCACTAGCAAGAGGGGGAAATTTTCAGATGGGTCAGTAGAGTATGTTTTTTCTCAGATTTGTTTCGAGTATTGAGTTATTGCGGTTTTTGTATCTGATTTTTGAAAAAAAAGATGTCGCGTTGAATCCAATTTTTAAAATTGACATAAGCATTGACCTTGAAATACAGTAACTGTTTTTTGAGATTTTTGCATCATTCGGAGCAGCCATGGCCGAGTGGTTAAGGCGTCTGACTAGAAATCAGATGTGATCATCACGTTCAGGATCGAGTCCTGCTGGCTGCGATACGCAATAGCAAGAGCGGGAAATTTTCAGATGGGTCAGTAGAGTTTGTTTTTTCTCAGATTTGTTTCGAGTATTGAGTTATTGCGGTTTTTGTATCTGATTTTTGAAAAAAAAAGATGTCGCGTTGAATCCAATTTTTAAAATTGACATAAGCATTGACCTTGAAATACAGTAACTGTTTTTTGAGATTTTTGCATCATTCCGAGCAGCCATGGCCGAGTGGTTAAGGCGTCTGACTAGAAATCAGTTGTGATCATCACGTTCAGGTTCGAGTCCTGCTGGCTGCGATACGCACTAGCAAGAGCGGGAAATTTTCAGATGGGTCAGTAGAGTATGTTTTTTCTCAGATTTGTTTCGAGTATTGAGTTATTGCGGTTTTTGTATCTGATTTTTGAAAAAAAAAGATGTCGCGTTGAATCCAATTTTTAAAATTGACATAGGCATTGACCTTGAAATACAGTATCTGTTTTTTGAGATTTTTGCAGCATTCGGAGCAGCCATGGCCGAGCGGTTAAGGCGTCTGACTAGAAATCAGATGTGATCATCACGTTCAGGTTCGAGTCCTGCTGGCTGCGATACTCACTAGCAAGAGGGGGGAATTTTCAGATGGGTCAGTAGAGTATGTTTTTTCTCAGATTTGTTTCGAGTATTGAGTTATTGCGGTTTTTGTATCTGATTTTTGAAAAAAAAGATGTCGCGATGAATCCAATTTTTAAAATTGACATAAGCATTGACCTTGAAATACAGTAACTGTTTTTTGAGATTTTTGCATCATTCGGAGCAGCCATGGCCGAGTGGTTAAGGCGTCTGACTAGAAATCAGATGTGATCATCACGTTCAGGTTCGAGTCCTGCTGGCTGCAATACGCACTAGCAAGAGCGGGAAATTTTCAGATGGGTCAGTAGAGTATGTTTTTTCGCAGATTTGTTTCGAGTATTGAGTTATTGCGGTTTTTGTATCTGATTTTTGAAAAAAAAGATGTCGCGTTGAATCCAATTTTTAAAATTGACATAAGCATTGACCTTGAAATACAGTAACTATTTTTTGAGATTTTTGCATCATTACGAGCAGCCATGGCCGAGTGGTTAAGGCGTCTGACTAGAAATCAGTTGTGATCATCACGTTCAGGTTCGAGTCCTGCTGGCTGCGATACGCACTATCAAGAGGGGGATTTTTTCAGATGGGTCAGTAGAGTATGTTTTTTCTCAGATTTGTTTCGAGTATTGACTTATTGCGGTTTTTGTATCTGATTTTTGAAAAAAAAAAGATGTCGCGTTGAATCAAATTTCTAAAATTGACATATGCATTTACCTTGAAATACAGCACCTGTTTTTTGAGATTTTTCCATTATGCATATCAGACATGGCCGAGTGGTTGAGGCGTCTGACTAGAAATCAGATGTGATCATCAGGCGCAGGTTCGAGTCCTGCTGGCTGCGATACGCACTAGCAAGAGGGGTGTTTTTCAGATGGCTCAGTAGAGTATGTTTTTTCTCAGATTTGTTCCGAGTATTGAGTTATTGCGGTTTTTGTATCTGATTTTTGAAAAAAAAAGATGTCGCGTTGAATCAAAATTTTAAAATTGACATATGCATTTACCTTGAAATACAGTTCCTAATTTTTGAGATTTTTTCATCATTCGGAGCAGCCATGGTCGAGTGGTTAAGGCGTCTGACTAGAATTCATATGTTTTCTTCACGCCCATGTTCGAAACCTGCTGGCTGCGATACGCACTAGCAAGATGGCGAGTTTTCCAGATGGGTCAGTAGAGTATGTTTTTTTCTCAGATTTGTTTCGAATTTTGAGTTTGCGGTTATTGGTATCTGTATTTTGAAAAAAAAAGATGTCGAGTTGAATTATTATGATTTTTTTTTTAAAAAACATATACATTTACCTTGAAATACAATTCCTATTTCTTTGAGATTTTTAATCATTCTGAGCAACCATGGCCGAGTTGTTAAGGCGTCTGACTAGAAATCATAAGTGGTCTTCACTCGCAGGTTCGAATCCTGCCTGCTGCAATTCTTACTAGCAAAAAGAGGTCAAAAAAAGAAGGGTCAAAAAAGTTTTTTTTTCTCAGATTTGCTTCGAATATCGAGTTTTTGCGGTTTTTGGTATCTGTTTTATGCAAAAAAAAAGATGTCGAGTTGAATTATTTTTTAAAAAAATTATATACCTTTACCTTGAAATACAATTCCTATTTTGTTGAGATTTGCGTAATTCGGAGTAGCCATGCCCGAGTGGTTAAGGAGTCTGACAAGAAATCAGATGGGTTCATCACGCGCAGGTTCGAATCCTGTTGGCTGCGATACGCACTTGCAAGAGGGGCAGTTTTTCACATGGGTCAGTATATTATGTTTTTTTCTCAGATTTGTTTCGAGTATTGAGTTATTGCGGTTTTTGTCTCTGATTTTTGAAAAAAAAGTGTCGCGTTGTATCAAAATTTTAAAATTGACTCTTGAATTTACCTTGAAATACAGTACCTGTTTTTTTGAGGTTTTTCCATCATTCGGAGCAGCCATGGCCTTGAATTATTATTTTAAAAAAACATATACTTTTACCTTGAAATACAATTCCTATTTCTTTGAGATTTTTAATCATTCTGAGCAACCATGGCCGAGTTGTTAAGGCGTCTGACTAGAAATCATAAGTGGTCTTCACTCGCAGGTTCAAATCCTGCTTGCTGCAATTCTTACTAGCAAAAAGAGGTCAAAAAAAGAAGGGTCAAAAAAGTTTTTTTTTCTCAGATTTGCTTCGAATATCGAGTTATTGCGGTTTTTGGTATCTGTTTTATGCAAAAAAAAAGATGTCGAGTTGAATTATTTTTTAAAAAAATTATATACCTTTACCTTGAAATACAATTCCTATTTTGTTGAGATTTGCGTAATTCGGAGTAGCCATGCCCGAGTGGTTAAGGCGTCTGACAAGAAATCAGATGGGTTCATCACGCGCAGGTTCGAATCCTGTTGGCTGCGATACGCACTTGCAAGAGGGGCAGTTTTTCACATGGGTCAGTATATTATGTTTTTTTTCTCAGATTTGTTTCGAGTATTAAGTTATTGCGGTTTTCGTATCTGATTTTTGAAAAAAAAAAGATGTCGCGTTGAATCAAAATTTTCAAATTGACAGTTGCATTTACCTATAAATACAGTACCTTTTTTTGAGATTTTTCCATCATTCGGAGCAGCCATGTTCGAGTGGTTAAGGCGTCTGACTAGAAATCAGATGTGAGCATTACGCGCCGGTTCGAATCCTGCTGGCTGCGATTCGTACAAGCAAGAGGGGCAGTTTTTTAAATGGGTCAATAGAGTTTTTTTTTCTCAGATTTGTTTCGAATATTGAGTTTTTGCGGTTTTTGGTATCTGTTTTCTGAAAAAAAAGATGTCGAGTTGAATTATTATGATTTAAAAAAAAACATATACATTTACCTTGAAATACAATTCCTATTTCTTTGAAGTTTTTAATCACTCGGAGCAGCCATGACCGAGTGGTTAAGGCGTCTGACTAGAAATTAGAGGTGATCATGACGTGCAGGTTCGAGTCCTGCTGGCTGCAATACGCACTAGCAAGAGGGTAGTTTTTCAGATGGGTCAGTAGAGTATGTTTTTTCTCAGATTTGTTTCGAGTATTGAGTTATTGCGGTTTTTGTATCTGATTTTTGAAAAAACAAGATGTCGCAATGAATCAAAATTTTAAAATTGACATATGCATTTACCTTGAAATACAGTACCTATTTTTTGAGATTTTTCCATCATTCGGAGCAGCCATGGTCGAGTGGTTAAGGCGTCTGACTAGAAATCAGATGTGATCATCACGCGCAGGTTCGAATCCTGCTGGATGCGATTCGTACAAGCAAGAGGGGCAGTTTTTTAAATGGGTCAATAGAGTATTCTTTTTCTCAGATTTGTTTCGAATATTGAGTTTTTGCGGTTTTTGGTATCTGATTTTTGAAAAAAAAATGTCGAGTTGAATTATTATGATTTTTTAAAAAAAACATACCTTTACCTTGAAATTCAATTCCTATTTTGTTGAGATTATCATAATTCTGAGCAGCCATGCCCGAGTGGTTAAGGCGTCTGACTAGAAATCAGATGTGATCATCACGCGCAGCTTCGAATCCTGCTGGCTGCGATACGCACTAGCAAGAGGGGGAGTTTTTCAGATGGGTCAGTAGTATTGAGTTATTGCGGTTTTTGTATCTGTTTTTTGAAAAAAGATGTCGCGTTGAATCCAATTTTTAAAATTGACATAGGCATTGACCTTGAAATACAGTAACTGTTTTTTGAGATTTTCCATCCTTCTGAGCAGCCATGGCCGAGTGGTTAAGGCGTCTGACTAGAAAGCAGATGTGATCATCACGCGCAGGTTCGAGTCCTGCTGGCTGCGATACGCACTAGCAAGAGGGGGATTTTTTCAGATGGGTCAGTAGAGTATGTTTTTTCTCTGATTTGTTTCGAGTATTGACTTATTGCGGTTTTTTGTATCTGATTTTTGAAAAAAAAAGATGTCGCGTTGAATCAAATTTCTAAAATTGACATATGCATTTACCTTGAAATACAGTAACTGTTTTTTGAGATTTTCCATCCTTCTGAGCAGCCATGGCCGAGTGGTTAAGGCGTCTGACTAGAAATCAGATTTGATCATCACGCGCAGGTTCGAGTCCTGCTGGCTGCGATACGCACTAGCAAGAGGGGGATTTTTTCAGATGGGTCAGTAGAGTATGTTTTTTCTCTGATTTGTTTCGAGTATTGACTTATTGCAGTTTTTGTATCTGATTTTTGAAAAAAAAAGATGTCGCGTTGAATCAAATTTCTAAAATTGACATATGCATTTACCTTGAAATACAGTAACTGTTTTTTGAGATTTTCCATCCTTCTGAGCAGCCATGGCCGAGTGGTTAAGGCGTCTGACTAGAAATCAGATGTGATCATCACGCGCAGGTTCGAGTCCTGCTGGCTGCGATACGCACTAGCAAGAGGGGGATTTTTTCAGATGGGTCAGTAGAGTATGTTTTTTCTCTGATTTGTTTCGAGTATTGACTTATTGCGGTTTTTTGTATCTGATTTTTGAAAAAAAAAGATGTCGCGTTGAATCAAATTTCTAAAATTGACATATGCATTTACCTTGAAATACAGTAACTGTTTTTTGAGATTTTCCATCCTTCTGAGCAGCCATGGCCGAGTGGTTAAGGCGTCTGACTAGAAATCAGATTTGATCATCACGCGCAGGTTCGAGTCCTGCTGGCTGCGATACGCACTAGCAAGAGGGGGATTTTTTCAGATGGGTCAGTAGAGTATGTTTTTTCTCTGATTTGTTTCGAGTATTGAGTTGTTGCGGTTTTTGTATCTGATTTTTTTTAAAAAATGTCGCGTTGAATCAAATTTTTAAAATTGACATATGCATTTACCTTGAAACACAGTACCTGTTTTTTGAGATTTTTCCATAATTCATATTAGACATGCCCGAGTGGTTGGGGCGTCTGACTAGAAATCAGATGTGATCATCAGGCGCAGGTTCGAGTCCTGCTGGCTGCGATACGCACTAGCAAGAGGGGGTGTTTTTCAGATGGCTCAGTAGAGTATGTTTTTTCTCAGATTTGTTCCGAGTATTGAGTTATTGCGGTTTTTGTATCTGATTTTTGAAAAAAAAAAGATGACGCGTTGAATCAAAATTTTAAAATTGACATATGCATTTACCTTGAAATACAGTACCTAACTTTTGAGATTTTTTCACCATTCGGAGCAGCCATGGTCGAGTGGTTAAGGCGTCTGACTAGAATTCATATGTTTTCTTCACGCCCATGTTCGAAACCTGCTGGCTGCGATACGCACTAGCAAGATGGCGAGTTTTCCAGATGGGTCAGTAGAGTATGTCTTTTTCTCAGATTTGTTTCGAATATTGAGTTTGCGGTTATTGGTATCTGTATTTTGAAAAAAAAAGATGTCGAGTTGAATTATTATGATTTTTTTTTTTAAAAAAAACATATACATTTACCTTGAAATACAATTCCTATTTCTTTGAGATTTTTAATCATTCTGAGCAACCATGGCCGAGTTGTTAAGGCGTCTGACTGGAAATCATAAGGGGTCTTCACTCGCAGGTTCGAATCCTGCTTGCTGCAATTCTTACTAGCAAAAACAGGTCAAAAATAGAAGGGTCAAAAAAGTTTTTTTTCTCAGATTTGCTTCGAATATCGAGTTATTGCGGTTTTTGGTATCTGTTTTATGAAAAAAAAAGATGTCGAGTTGAATTATTTTTTTAAAAAAACATATACCTTTACCTTGAAATACAATTCCTATTTTGTTGAGATTTTCGTAATTCGGAGTAGCCATGCCCGAGTGGTTAAGGCGTCTGACAAGAAATCAGATGGGTTCATCACGCGCAGGTTCGAATCCTGTTGGCTGCGATACGCACTTGCAAGAGGGGCAGTTTTTCAGATGGGTCAGTATATTATGTTTTTTCTCAGATTTGTTTCGAGTATTAAGTTATTGCGGTTTTCGTATCTGATTTTTGAAAAAAAAAGATGTTGCGTTGAATCAAAATTTTCAAATTGACAGTTGCATTTACCTATAAATACAGTACTTATTTTTTGAGATTTTTCCATCATTTGGAGCAGTCATGGCCGAGTGGTTAAGGCGTCTGACTAGAAGGTTCGTATCCTGCTGGCTGCGATTCGTACAAGCAAGAGGGGCAGTTTTTTAGATGGGTCAATATAGTATTTTTTTTCTCAGATTTGCTTCGAATATCGAGTTTTTGCGGTTTTTCGTATCTGTTTTTTGAAAAAAAAAGATGTCTAGTTGAATTATTTTTTTAAAAAAAACATATACCTTTACCTTGAAATACAATTCCTATTTTGTTGAGATTATCATAATTCTGAGCAGCCATGCCCGAGTGGTTAAGGCGTCTGACTAGAAATCAGATGTGATCATCACGCGCAGCTTCGAATCCTGCTGGCTGCGATACGCACTAGCAAGAGGGGGAGTTTTTCAGATGGGTCAGTAGAGTATGTTTTTTCTCAGATTTGTTTCGAGTATTGAGTTATTGCGGTTTTTGTATCTGATTTTTGAAAAAAAAGATGTCGCGTTGAATCAAAATTTTAAAATTGACATATGCATTTACCTTAAAATTTAGTACCTTTTTTTGAGATTTTTCCATCATTACGAGCAGCCATGGCCGAGTGGTTAAGGCGTCTGACTAGAAAGAAGATGTGATCTTCACGCGCAGGTTCGAATCCTGCTGGCTGTGATACGCACTAGCAAGAGGGGGAGTTTTTCAGATGGGTCAGTAGAGTATTTTTTTTTCTCAGATTTGTTTCGAGTATTGAGTTATTGCGGTTTTTGTATCTGATTTTTGAAAAAAAAGATTTCGCGTTGAATCAAAATTTTAAAATTGACATATGCATTTACCTTGAAATTTAGAACCTATTTTTTGAGATTTTTCCATCATTACGAGCAGCAATGGCCGAGTGGTTAAGGCGTCTGACTAGAAATCAGATGTGATTTTCACCCGCAGGTTCGAAGCCTGCTGGCTGCGATTCGTACAAGCAAGAGGGGCAGTTTTTTAGATGGATCAATAATGTATTTTTTTTTTTTCAGATTTGTTTTGAACATTGAGTTTTTGCGGTTTTTGGTATCTGTTTTTTGAAAAAAAAAGATGTCTAGTTGAATTATTTTAAAAAAAAACATATACTTTTACCTTGAAATTCATTTCCTATTTTGTTGAGATTATCATAATTCTGAGCAGCCATGCCCGAGTGGTTAAGGCGTCTGACTAGAAATCAGATGTGATCATCACGCGCAGCTTCGAATCCTGCTGGCTGCGATACGCACTAGCAAGAGGGGGAGTTTTTCAGATGGGTCAGTAGTATTGAGTTATTGCGGTTTTTGTATCTGATTTTTGAAAAAAAGATGTCGCGTTGAATCAAAATTTTAAAATTGACATATGCATTTACCTTGAAATTTAGTACTTAATTTTTGAGATTTTTCCAGCATTACGAGCAGCCATGGCCGAGTGGTTAAGGCGTCTGTTTAGAAATCAGATGTGATCTTCACGCGCAGGTTCGAATCCTGCTAGCTGCGATTCGTACAAGCAAGAGGGGCAGTTTTTTAGATGGGTCAATATAGTACTTTTTTTTCAGATTTGTTTTGAATATTGAGATTTGCGGTTTTTGGTATCTTTTTTTTTGAAAAAAAAAGATGTCGAGTTGAATTATTTTTTAAAAAAAACATATACCTTAACCTTGAAATACAATTCCTACTTTTTTGAGATTTTCATATTTCTGAGCAGCCATGCCCGAGTGGTTACGGCGTCTGACTAGATATCAAGTGTGATCATCACGCGCAGGTTCGAATCCTGCTGGCTGCGATACGCACTAGCAAGAGAGGTAGATTCTCAGATGGGTCAGTAGAGTATGTTTTTTCTCAGATTTGTTTCGAGTATTGAGTTTTTGCGGTTATTGGTATGTGTTTTTTGAAGAAAAAAAAACATGTCGAGTTGAATTATTATGATTTTTTTTAAAAAAACATATACCTTTATCTTGAAATACAATTCCTATTTCTTTGAGATTTTTAACCATCCGGCGCAGACATGGCCGAGTGGTTAAGGCGTCTGACCAGAAAGCAGCTGTGATCTTCACGCGCAGGTTCGAATCCTGCTGGCTGCGATTTGTACAAGCACGAGGAGCTGTTTTTTAGATGGGTCAATAGAGTATTGTTTTCTCAAATTTGTTTCGAATATTGAGTTTTTGCGGTTATTGGTATGTGTTTTTTGAAAAAAAAAGATGTCGAGTTGAATTATTATGATTTTAAAAAAAAACATATAAATTTACCTTGAAATACAATTCCTATTTCCTTGAGATTTTTAATCATTCGGAGCAGCCTTGGCCGAGTGGTTAAGGCGTCTGACTAGAAATCAGATGTGATCTTCACGCGTAGGTTCGAATCCTGCTGGCTGCGATTCGTACAAGCAAGAGGGGCAGTTTTTTAGATGAGTCAATAGAGTATTTTTTTTCCTCAGATTTGTTTCGAATATTGAGTTTTTGCGGTTATTGGTATGTGTTTTTTGAAAAAAAAGATGTCGAGTTGAATTATTATGATTTTTTTTTTAAAAAACATATACATTTACCTTGAAATATAATTTCTATTTCTTTGAGATTTTTAATCATTCGGCGCAGCCATAGCCGAGTGGTTAAGGCGTCTGACTAGAAAGAAGATGTGATCTTCACGCGCAGGTTCGAATCCTGCTGGCTGCGATTTGTACAAGCAAGAGGAGCTGTTTTTTAGATGGGTCAATAGAGTATTTTTTTCTCAGATTTGTTTTGAATATTGAGTTTTTGCGGTTATTGGTATGTGTTTTTTGAAAAAAAAAGATGTCGAGTTGAATTATTATGATTTAAAAAAAAACATATACATTTACCTTCAAATACAATTCCTATTTCTTTGAGATTTTTAATCATTCGGAGCAGCCATGGCCGAGTGGTTAAGGCGTCTGACTAGAAATCAGATGTGATCTTCACGCGCAGGTTCGAATCCTGCTGGCTGCGATTTGTACAAGCAAGAGGAGCTGTTTTTTAGATGGGTCAATAGAGTTTTTTTTCTCAGATTTGTTTCGAATATTGAGTTTTTGCGGTTATTGGAATGTGTTTTTTGAAAGAAAAGATGTCGAGTTGAATTATTATGATTTTAAAAAAAACATATACATTTACCTTGAAATACAATTCCTATATCTTTGAGATTTGTAATCATTCGGAGCAGCCATGGCCGAGTGGTTAAAGCGTCTGACTAGAAATCAGATGAGATCTTCACGCGCAGGTTCGAATCCTGCTGGCTGCGATTCGTACTAGCGAGAGGGGCAGGTTTTTAGAAGGCTCAAAAAAGTATTTTTTTTCTCAGATTTGCTTCGAATATCGAGTTTTTGCGGTTTTTGCTATCTGTTTTTTGAAAAAAAAAGATGTCGAGTTGAATTATTTTTTTTTAAAAACATATATCTTCTACCTTGAAATAAAATTCCTATTTTGTTGAGATTTTCATAATTCGGAGCAGCCATGCCCGAGTGGTTAAGGCGTCTGACTAGAAATCAGATGTGATCATCAGGCGCAGGTTTGAATCCTGCTGGCTGCGATTCGTACAAGCAAGAGGGGCAGTTTTTTAGATGGGTCAGTAGTGTATTTTTTTCTCAGATTTGTTTTGAATGTTGAGTTTTTGCGGTTATTGGTATGTGTTTTTTGAAAAAAAAAAGATGTCGAGTTGAATTATTATGATTTTAAAAAACATATACATTTACCTTGAAATACAATTCCTATTTCTTTGAGATTTTTAATCATTCGGAGCAGCCATGGTCGAGTGGTTAAGGCGTCTGACTAGAAATCAGATGTGATCTTCACGCGCAGGTTCGAATCCTGCTGGCTGCGATTCGTACTAGCAAGAGGGGCAGGTTTTTAGAAGGCTCAAAAAAGTATTTTTTTTCTCAGATTTGCTTCGAATATCGAGTTATTGCGGTTTTTGCTATCTGTTTTTTGAAAAAAAAAGATGTCGTGTTGAAACAAAATTTTAAAATTGACATATGCTTTTACCTTGAAATAAAGTACCTTTTTTGAGATTTTTTCCAGCCTTCGTAGCAGCCATGGCCGAGTGGTTAAGGCGTCTGACTAGAAATCAGATGTGATCTTCACGCGCAGGTTCGAATCCTGCTGGCTGCGATTTGTACAAGCAAGAGGAGCTGTTTTTTAGATGGGTCAATAGTGTATTTTTTTCTCAGATTTGTTTTGAATGTTGAGTTTTTGCGGTTATTGGTATGTGTTTTTTGAAAAAAAAAAGATGTCGAGTTGAATTATTATGATTTAAAAAAAACATATACATTTACCTTGAAATACAATTCCTATTTCTTTGAGATTTTTAATCATTCGGAGCAGCCATGGCCGAGTGGTTAAGGCGTCTGACTAGAAATCAAATGTGATCTTCACGCGCAGGTTCGAATCCTGCTGGCTGCGATTCGTACTAGCAAGAGGGGCAGGTTTTTAGAAGGCTCAAAAAAGTATTTTTTTTCTCAGATTTGCTTCGAATATCGAGTTATTGCGGTTTTTGCTATCTGTTTTTTGAAAAAAAAAGATTTCGTGTTGAAACA